GTGTGAGCACGAACACCAGTCCAACGCAAGCTAGCTTAGAAAACTTCCTCATCTCTTTTCTAAGAACACGAGACAGATCTCCCTCTGTAGACACCTCTGTGATAAGAAAATCTAAACAAGGTTTCTAATTCCCCCTGTTCATCCAAAAGGTCTAACCCCTCAGAATTTCAAACCTCTGAAATTTGAACTCTTCTAAAAAACAGAACTAGGAAAGTCAAAGAGAAATTTTCGTTAAGTAAATAGAAGAGGCAAAAGAATATTCAACCAAGAATTTCCAATAAAAATAGCCAACCTCAACCTAAGGTTGGTGGGGGGTTTATATAGGGAGAAATTTAGGGTTTTACGGATGAAGAGGGCTGGACGCTCCTCAGGCCCATTTCCAATTCAAATCCGAAAAACCTTCAAACCTCATCCAAAAGAGCAAATCGAGCGGGAAACAGGTGGAGGGTCGATATCAATTTCTCGTACTGGACAAGCTACGTGGAGCCATCTTGCGTTGGAAGGACGAAACTCTTGTCGCCTTGTGCTCACTGGGAGGCTGCGTACGGAGGAGCAGAACTGCAGGTTTCCGTTGCACTGCATCGCTCCTCCACGCGCTAGAGAGATGAGGAGAGAGAACGTGGGGAGACGAGAGAGGACGAGAGAGAGGGAGAGAGCGCGGGGAGGGACACGAGGGGTAGAGAGCGTGGGTTTCTGGGGCAATTTCCATTTTTGGAGTGTTTGCCTTTTTTCTGCATTTTCTGGGGGGTGTTTCTGTTCTGGGAATGGCGTAGGGGAAGGGGGAAGAAGAAAGAGGGGAGAGGGCCGGGTCGGCGTGGATATGGGCTGGGTTGAGGGTTTTTTATTGGGCTGCTGATGGTGTTAAAGAGTTTAAGTGGGCTGGATTTAATTTAGTGGGTGTTGGGCCGCTGGGAATTAACGGAAGGGCGTGGGCCTATGAATTTGGGCTCGAATTGATTGGCCGCTGGGAATAAAATTGGTAATGGGTTTGAAAGAGTTAAGGTGGGCCGCTAAAAAACGTGGGCCTGGGAGTTGGACTTGAGCTTGTGGGCTGTAGTGAATGGAATTAATTAAGGTGGGGAATGTGATTGGGTTAATTTGACGAATAACCAATTAAAATGATGAATTTTGCATCAATCAATTAACGAGCCCTTTTTATTTAATAAAATAATTATCCAAGTCGTAAAAGTGATTCCAAAGTACGATCTATAGATTTCCCATCTATATCCAATCCCAACGTCGCAGTGTCCCGCCTCCCCTCGAATGATCGGTGCGGCGGTTAGGCATCCTTAGACTAATTATATTTTAAATGAAACTAGTTTGATAAGCATTTAAAATGTATATTTGATAGTTTTGAATAAATCATGAGATATACGAATTATATACATAATTATGTAACTATGTATATTATTGAAAGTTATGTTAAACGTATGAGAAGTAACATAACATTCATGTATTATATTATTTAATTTTTGCAAAATTTATAAAATTAATTAATTGAAATAATTTGGAAAACTTACGAAGCTCGATAATCAATTTACACCGACGTGGGTCAAAATTGGGTGTCAACGGTTCCTCATTTTACTTAGGTTGATACAAGCAATTCGAGGAAAATGAAATTGACCAAACCAATTTTGACCAACCCCATTCATTTTAAAAGGGAGGATCCGATAAAGGGTTTAGGGATTATGGCCGAACCCTTGAAAACGGGTTTCCTACATATCTCAGGCTATATGAGAATTGAGGCCACTTGTAGTTCGATAAGCTTGATTTACCGCATGATTTGAAAGAATCAAAGCCACCTTGACACCGAATTATGAAGGTATCAAAATGCTCGAGAATAAAATTCGAGAGCGAATGTTGGAATACAGCCGAGTTTTCAACATTGAATCCGCCTACATATCCTTAGACCTTCGGAATCAGGCTGTGTGTAGTTCGACTCGATCGGTGGGAAAGGAAATCTATTACGCTAGATAACCTTCGGTTTTGGAAAAGTGTCACATTAATGAGTATGAAAAGGAGGCTTGTAACCTCTTAGCCATGAATGTGGCGTGCTTCACACCTATAATTCAGAGCTTACACAGACATAATTTTCAAAGCTCTTGGCGAGTTGTCACTCACATTGGAAACTTTCTTCTGATAAGACAAAACTTCCGGATGCGAGACTGAAACTGACAGGACCAAAGAAAACCCACGTGCCTCGAGAGGGGTAGTTCGATTGTGGTGGAAGTCACTCCTCTGCTCGCGTCCTAAGAGTTTGGCACTCCTCTTTTGACTGTGTCCCAATTTGCAGCTAAGAAAAGTTCCACGTCGTGCTGCATCCTTTTTGATGTCGTCCACACCTATGGTTTTTGGAGAATTCATCCTTTTGGATGCTCTCGACAAAGACTGAGACAAAACTCGTCAGCTTTAAAAATTTAATTATGATGGGAGACAATGTCTTTTTACCATGTCGATACTTCATTGTTCTCCTCAATATTCGACGTCGACTCGATCGGTCTGACATCTAGCAAATAAAGCTTATGCCTTGTGTTTTGCAATAAAATCTTCAATGTACTCTTCATTTGATGCTAAAATAAATAAATGACTGTTGATGCGATATTGATGTCTCTTTTGTCGTTATCTTCGATGCTCTTCTTGATGTTTATCTTTTTATCAAAGATAGAAGTTGCAGTTGAGGCCGACGGATAAATGTTGTTCTTGGGATACACAATTTCCTTTTCTTCATCCATGTATGTCCTCTTGCGGGGCATGAATATCTTCCCGTGATACATAAATTCCCGCGAGATATGAATCTTCTCGCGATGCATAACTTTCAGCGAGGAATAAAATCTTCTCACGATGTGCAAATTTGACGAGGGATGAATTCTTCTCGTCGTGCATAATTGTTGACTCTCAATGCATGATTTTTGCAATGCATGACTTTTCCGCGATGCATGATTTCCAACGAGGCATGGATCCTTCTCGCGATGCGCAAATTCCAGCGAGGTATAAATTCTTCTCGCGATGTATAAATTTTGACGAGGCATGACATCTTCTCGTCGTGTCTAAATTTCAGCGAGGCATAAAATATTCTCGCGATGTATAATTTTTGATGAGGCATGAAATCTTCTCGTCGTGCATGATTGTTGACTCGCAATGCATGATTTTCTGCGATGCATGATTCCGCGATGCATGATTCTTAAGTGTGTGAATTTTGCGATGCATAACGTCCGCGATGCATGATTCTTTAGTGTATGAATTCCGTGATGCATGATTCCGCGATGCATGATTCTTCAACAATATATGACTTTCCCGATGCATGATTCTTCAGCAGTATATGTCTTCCGCAATGCATGAACATTTATATCGCCCCCGTGGATAATAACGGCAAGGCGATCTCCAAATAATATATCGACTTGATCGATAATGGTAAAATAATAATTGCATAAGCATCTCTTCTGGGGTAATACATTGTCTTGATCAACAATAATTATCTTGCCTTGATAACGCAATGCAAATAGCGTCCTTTACATAAATCGTGAAATCTTTGCTATGATTCCTGTTTGATTCACCTTTGAATCTGGCCAGGCACTTTTGCAAATTTCACATTGTTGAGAATGGTTTGAAATAAACAAACACATTCACAAGCATCTTGACACAAACTATATGAACTGCCTCCTGCTTTCAGTAAAATCACTGGTTTTGGAGATAGTCTTCTCCTTTTTGAGAGCTCTCCGTATTCATCCATCGGGATAATTCGGCCGACTTCAAAGAAAAACTATAAACCTGCATCCCACAGAAAAATTGTCAGTTTTAAAACATACTGATCTGTGTTGATTCCTTCAGTCGCTTGCTCCTGGTCTTGATGTCTCTGGTTGATTTCCCGATTTCCCAACTCTTGATAGATAAGAAAAGATATCTTATGCCAAAACAAATGAAACATAAGAGGGAAATTTTTTTTATAAAAGAAATGAGAAATCTTTAAGAAATAGTATGTTGAAAAAGTCACTGCCAAGTCATGTCATATCAGGCTTTACGAGCTCTTTTGAATCTGACACTTGCTGATGAGTTTCAGAGGCATTCCGGACATGTGGGGAAGACCCATGACGAAATTTCGAGGCCATCCTCAAAATTTTTGTCCCAGTTTACTATCTTGCTCATCTTTTCATTGTAACAGATTACGGAATTTTGAGGTCTTCTCAAAAATTTTGTCCCAGTCGGAAATCTCGAAATGTCTTTTGTCTAACTTGCTGATGAGGAGACTTCTTCTGGAGAATTTTTGAGTCCCTCTCAAAAATTCTGTCCCAGTTTCTATTGTAAAGGGGAATAGAAATCTTACGAGAGATATGACCGAGCCCTCGTGGCACCTACGTATCCCGTTGAGGCAGGAATCAGGTCAAACGTAGTTCCCCTTAAAGGTTAACAAGAATAAAATTTACAAAGAAATCCGATCGAGGCCGACAAAGGCCGCCTACATATCTCATTCTTGAGAATTCAGGTCAGACGTAGTTCAGATACAAAGAAATAATTAAAGGGGATAAATGGGGTGACCGAAGCCGACATAGGCCGCCTACATATCCCGTTCTCGAGAATTCAGGTCAGACGTAGTTCGTTACAAAGAAATGATCAAATTCGAACAAATACAAACAAACAGAACGATTACAAGTAAATGCTAGAAAAATGCAAAAATGGAACTTCATGTATAGTATCTCTTGACAGCATCTGAGTTGATAGGCTTGGGCCATACAGCGCCATCCATCTCTGACAGGACCAAAGCACCACCCCCATAGTACTTTACGAACCATGTACGGACCTTGCCAGTTTGGTGCGAACTTTCCTTTGTACTCGTCTTGATGAGGAAAAATATGCTTAAGGACCAACTGACCAACTTCAAAATTTCTGGCTCTTACACTTCTGTTAAAAGCGCGAGTCATTCTCTGTCTATACAACTGGCCATGGAAAACGACGACCATTCTCTTCTCATCAATCAAAGCTAGTTGATCAATCAGTTTGCTAACCTACTCAGCGTTGCTTAACTCAGCTTCTTGGATGATCCTCAATGACGTTATCTCGACTTCAACAGGTACGACTGCTTCTGTTCCATATACTAGCAAGTATGGAGTGGCCCCAGTCGATGTTCTAACCGTTGTTCGATAACCTAGTAGAGCATACGGCAATAGTTCATGCCAACCCTGTTGTTTGTCAATCATTTTCCTCAAAATCTTTTTGATGTTCTTGTTGGCGGCTTCTACAACTCAGTTCATTTGGGGGCAATAAGCAGTTGACTTTCGGTGAATAATCTTTAATTGTTCACACATCTCTTTCATCATATGACTGTTGAGATTTGCACCGTTATCAGTAATGATGGATTCTGGAACTCCAAATCTGCATATCAGATTGTTGCGGACAAAATCGGCCACCACTTTCTTGGTTACCGATCTGTAAGAGGCTACTTCCACCCACTTGGTGAAATAATCAATGGCAACCAAAATGAATTTGTGTCCATTGGAAGCGGCTGGCTCTATAGGACCGATGACATCCATTCCCCAATCTACAAATGGCCAAGGTGAACTCATAGCATTAAGTTCGTGAGGTGGCACCCGTATCAAATCGCCGTGCACTTGACATTTGTGGCATTTCTGCACGAATTTGCAACAGTCGTTCTCCATAGTCATCCAGAAATAACCGGCTCGAAGGACCTTTCTTGCCAAAGTAAGCCCGTTCATGTGCGTACCACAAACTCCAGCATGTATCTGTTTAATAAGCCTCACAGCTTCAGCAGCATCCACGCATCTTAACAAACCCAAACCTGGAGTCCTCCTATACAGGATTTCTCCATTCAGAAAGAAATTGAGAGCCATACGACGTATTGACTTCTTCTGATTAGATGTAGCGTCTTCTGGATATGTCCCAGACTCCAAGTATCTCTTTATGTCAAAATACCAAGGAAAACCATCTGGTTCTGATTCAACATGTGAACAATGGAATGGATGCTCCTTCAAGTCTATATCTAGCGGGTTGATGTAATCAGTGTCCGGATGTTTGATCATTGAAGAAATGGTGGCAAGAGCATCAGCTAATTCATTCTGTATTCTGGGAGTATGTCTGAACTCGATCTTGCGAAACCTTTTACATAGATTTTGCACATACTGCACGTAAGGTACAAACTTTGGGTTCTTCACAACCCATTCTCCTTGAACCTGATGAATCAAAAGGTCTGAATCTCCAATAACCAGTAACTCGTAAACATTCATGTCAATGGCCATTTTTAAACCACGAATACAAGGTTCGTATTCAACCATGTTGTTTGTGCAGTTGAAGCGCAGTTTAGCCGCCATAGGATAATGCTGACCAGATTCTGATACCAAGACTGCTCCAACACCTTTACCCTGGTTATTCGCCGCTCCATCGAAGAACAATCTCCAACTTGGATAATCTTCAAATATATCTTCACCCACAAATGACACTTCTTCATCGTGGAAATACGTCTTAAGTGGTTCATATTCTTCGTCCACGGGATTTTCCGCAAGATGGTCATTTGGCTTCTGAGTCACATACACGATATCGAATTCACTCAACAGCATTTGCCATTTGGCTAACTTTCCAGTCGGCATCGCATTATGGAAAATGTACTTCAACGGATCAATTCTAGAAATGAGATACGTAGTATACGATGACAAATAGTGTCTCAGCTTCTGGGCAAGCCATGTCAAAGCACAGCATGTTCTCTCCAGCAAAGTGTACCGAGACTCGTACGGAGTAAACTTCTTGCTTAATTAGTAGATGGACTTTTCCTTCTTTCCTGTCTTATCGTGTTGACCAAGTATACATCCAAAGGCGTTATCTAAAACAGACAAATACAGCAACAAAGGACTCCCTTCTCGCGGAGGAACCAATACTGGTGGATTAGACAAATAGCTCTTGATAGCGTCGAAAGCGGTCTGGCACTCCTCAATCCACTTAGTTGGGGCGCCTTTCTTTAGCAACTTGAAAATGGGCTCACATACCACTGTTGATTGTACTATAAACCGGTTGATATAGTTTAACCTCCCCAAGAAACTCATCACTTCTTTTCTCGTCTTCGGCGGAGGTAACTCTTGAATTGCCTTAATCTTGGAAGGGTCGAGTTCAACACCTCTTCTGCTGACTATAAACCCCAACAACTTCCCAGCTGGGACTCCAATAGAACATTTGGCGGGATTTAGTTTCAAATTGTACCGACGCAAACGTTCAAAGAATTTCCTCAGGTGTGTCAAATGATCTGAACTCTCGCGGGATTTGATTATGACGTCGTCCACGTACACTTCAATTTCCTTGTAAATCATGTTGTGAAAGATAGTCGTCATGGCTCTGTAGTGACACCCCCCCAAGGCGTGATGAATGCCATTTTTTCTGCGTCTTCTTCATCCATCAAAATTTGGTGATAACCCGCGTAACACTCCACAAATGACTACATCTCATGTTTGGCACAGTTGTCAATCAGAATATGGATATTTGGCAACGGAAAATTATCCTTTGGACTGGCCTTGTTGAGATCTCTTTAATCGACACAAATCCTAATTTTTCCATCTTTCTTGGCGACCGGAACGACATTGGCCAACCAGGTTGGGTATTGCGTTACTTCCACCAATCGAGACTCTATCTGCTTGGTGATTTCCTCCTCTAATCTTCAAACTCAATTCAGGCTTGAATTTCCGAGTCTTTTGTTTCACCAGCTCGAATCCTGGGTTGATAGGTAGCTTATGAGATACGACACCGGTACTCAAACCCTGCATATCACCGACTTCCCAAACGAACACATCCATGTATTCGGCAAGCAGATGAACCAGGCTCTCCTTCTGAGTTTCATTCAGGTGGGTGCTAATTTTAACCTCTTTGACACATTCCAAATCTCCCAAATTCACCGTTTCTGTCACCTCCAGATTCTGTTTATGTTGATTCTCGAACTGTCGAAATTCTTCTGCTACATAATCTGGTTCCCCACTTTCTTCATCGTAGTCGTCAACCTCGTCGTCATTTACTTCATTTTGCTCATTTAGCTTATGACATGACATGACATTGGTAGGTTTATAACTTACTTTACTGAAATCATAAACAGACAAAATTAGGAAAGTAAAATGTAACAAGCAATTTAATAAACAAAGTCAAAATAAGGAGGCTTTCATTTAAATCAAACAAAATGCGAACTTGGGTCATGGAACAGGGCCATGTCGCTTTTCAAACATCACAACAAAATTCAAAATCAAGAACAATGCAGAAATGATGGGTCTCGGGCCTCTTCCGGACGACCACCGATTTTACTATGCATAAAATAATTCCTTTCTACCCAAGAGTCAGGGACATCAGGATTGGCGTGGAAGTACAATTCTGCAGCATCTCCCCTGGTTCCGCATCGCGAATGCCAGCTGGGTTGAACTCCTCCTCGATAACGGCGTTAATCTCCTTGAAGAGGTCACAAATTCCTTCCCCGTCGTCTTCAGGCTCGGCATGCTCCCGGACTGGAAAGGATTGATAGAGATGCGGGATCGGCTTAGTCAACCCTTGATCCTTTTTCCTCTTCATCTTCACATCATCATCTTTGGGGATGTACCCCAAACCATACTTTGATCCTTGAGCAAGGACCGGAATTGGCTCGATGATTCCTTGTGCATTCCTTCCTAATCTGAAACCTGGTTCGAATCCGCTCTGCAGCATTACCGTGGTGATCATTCTATACACGGCCAGCATGGGAGTCTGTGGGACCAAGACCTCATCGGTGGCATTTACGAACTCCACCGTGTAGAAATCCGAAGTTTGCGGCGTCTCGTCCAAGACCGGCACCTACTTGCCTGAGTGGCCCTTTTCACCATGAATAACCAGCTCTTCATTTCTCCACACCAGTTTCATCATTTGGTGGAGATTGGAGGGGACGGCTCCAGCAATGTGAATGAATGTCTTTCACAAAAGAAGGTTATAGCTGGTATCGATATCCAACACCTGGAACTGCGCCTCGAATTCTGCGGGGCCCATTTGGATGGTCAAGTTCACCACTCTTAACGTCTCTCACTGCACACCATCGAATGCTCTCACATTGACCTGGTTTTGCTCCAACTTTCCGAGGTCAAACCTCAGCTGCTTCAGTGTGGACAAGGGGCATATGTTCAGGCAAGATCCTCCGTCTACTAAAACACGGTTGACAATCTTTCCGCGGCATACCACGGTGATGTGTAGACCTTTATTGTGGGCCCTCCCTTCGGCCGGTAGTTCATCATTGCAGAAACTGATGCGGTGTCCCCGAATGACTTGGTGAATCATAGCTGCTACATTGTCGCTGCTCGTACCTGAGGGCACATATGTGTCATCCAGGGCTTTCATTAAAGCCTGCCTGTGGGACCAGGAGCTCATCAGCAGGGCCCACACAGAAATCTGGGCTGGAGTCTTCTACAAGTGTCTGACAATGGAGTAATCTTTGGGCTGCATTCTCCTCCAGAACTCCTCAGCTTCTGCTTCGCTGATCGGTCTCTTGGCATGCTCTTTCTTTTGTCCTCCGAGAGCAAGCTCGTCAAGAGTGTAACATCTGCCAGATCTGGTCATGCCTTGAGCCACGACCGTTTCTATAACAAACTTGGGCTTGGCGAGAGTCTTTGTGGGCACCAAGGCAACAACCTTTGCAGGTGTCAGAATGATGAACTCTCCCTTTTCTCTGACGCTCAAAGAAGCGACAGCCCTTTCCATATCTTCCTGAACAACAGGGGTAATTCTCTTGGCTTCACGCTCATCTTCGTCAGTTTCTATCATGTTGATGTTTCCACCCCCATGATTTGGCAACGGATTCGTGTTGACGTTTCGCGCCGCAGGCTGAAGGGAGACCACTTCCTGGTCAATCAAGTCCTGGATCTTGTGCTTGAGATTGATAAAGTCTTCTGTATCATGTCCAACACTGTTGGAATGATAATCACATCTCTGCTTCGGTCTGTAGAATCTGGAATTGACATCCACGGGCTTGGGCCCCACAGGGTGGATGTATCTAGCCGTGACTAATCTTTTGAACAATTTAGTTATGCTTTCATCCAACAAGGTGAAGCTTCTGGAGAGCTTCTTCTCAAACCTGGGGCGAGGGGGATCATACCCGCTCTGTTGAGGGGGAGGGACTTGTTGATAACTGCGGGCATTTGGTCGTGGAGCTTGGGTTCTGGGGTAGGGATTTGTTTGGTAGTTTGGAATTGGGGCTTGGTAATTTTGATGGGGGCTTTGATATGCTGGGGTTTGTATTTGATATGCGGGGGACGGTGCTCGATAGCTTGGCTGTACATTAGCGCAGCTGGGAGCGACATTCTCGTAATGGGGAGGGACTTGATAAGCTTGGGGGTAGTTTGGATATATGGAGAAAAAATTTTGGGGAATCGGGGGTGGATTCTGATACGACAAAATATGGGCATCTAGATAAGGGTGGGGGGCAGCATTGTAGTGGCCGGAATGATTTGATTGTGGACGGTAGGCTTGATGAGGCTTTGATGGAGGGTTGGAGCGGCCTTGGGGATGGGGTAAGTTTCTGGGGGCCTTTCTTCCCCCGTGTGAGATGGCGTTAACCTCCTCTCTTTTCTTCCTTACCAGTCCGGAAGACCCAGGCGATGCAGACACTTGGGCTATCTTTCCCGACTTCAGGCCATCTTCAATAGTCTCACCTACTTTGACTATCTCGGCGAACTTGGCGCCGATTAATAAGATGACTCTTTCATAATACTCGGGCTCCAGCACCCGCACGAACACCTCTACAATCTCCTTTTCTATCATTGGAGGCCTCACCCTCGCTGCCTCCTTCCTCCATCTGTACGCGAACTCTCGATAGCTTTCTATGGGCTTCTACTTCATCTTCTCCAAGGAGTAGCGATCAGGGACTATCTTGACGTTGTATGCGAATCTGTCAATCAAATCCTTAGCCAGTGCGCTCAAACTGGGCCATTGTCGAGTCTCATGCGACGTGAACCATTCAGGGCCTCACCGCACAGGCTCCGGCTGAACAACCTCATCAGCAACGCTTCGTCTTTGACAACTCCCACTAGTTGGTCCCAGTACGCTCTTAAGTATGCCATGGGGTTGCCCACCCCTCCGAAGGTATCAAACTTCGGGATCTTGAACCCTTCGGGCAGGTTCAAGTCTGGGTGGATGCATAGTTCTTCGTAGCTTAACCCGGCGACGTCTGAGTGCATTGCAATTCTCTTATCGCCCTCTTGATCTGCTCCTTTATGTCTACCTTCGCTTCTTCCCTCACCCTCCACTCTCTTTATTGCTCCTCATAATGGTCTAACTCGGAGCCGTGCACCTCATGCTCGGCCGGGATGGGGACTTGGAATGTGGTTCTTTTGGGGAGGGGTGGAGCTATGGAAGGGCTTGGGACGTTATGTGCGGTTTGATAGTTTTGTGGATAATTTTGGGGATTGGTATTTTGGTTTAAGTGGGGATATGGTGTTTGGGACTTGAAGGCGGTGGGATTTTGGGTTTGATTATGGGGTAGTGGGGCTGTTTGAGTGCTTTGGGAGTGTGGTGGTATTTGTGGGGGATTGTTTGGGAGTGGTGAGGGAGTTTGATAGGACACCGATGCGTATTGGGGGTTTTGGGTTGTCATATCTACCCCGGACAGGTTGTGCACGGGTGTCGATGGATGGTGCTGAGTAGGATCCGAGTTGGACGAGGGGAAGTATATAGGAGGTCTTGCGTCGAGAAAGTTGGGGCCAAACTCGGGCGGAGGAGTGTCTTGCCTCCGTTGAATCTCTACCCTCATGTCAGCTATTTGCTGCATCAGTTGCGCAATAAGCTCATTCTGCTCTGCCACGGTGGGCTAAACCACCACTACATCTGTGAGGCTGACTTGTTCATTGTTGTCTCCCATGTCTGTATTTGCGTTTGGTCTGGGGAAGGAATTTGTGGGACATTTTGATCTGGTGAAATAGGGGTGATCTGCCAGCTTTATCGACACAGATCAGTAAAAGGTACCTGAGAGGTAAAAACAACTCAAAGGCAAATTTGTTAGTGCATATCCGGAGTACAAAATGCATAATATCACACATAAAACAGATAAACACACAAGTCACTTTGTTTGAGGATATCTTAACCCACGAATGAGGATGGAAATATCTTCGTATCTCCGTAACATGGAGGAGAATGAAAATTTTCTGTGATAGGGGCCGGGCCGGGAAGGCTGCCTACGTATCTCTCAAGGAGAATTCAGGCCCAACGTAGTTCGGGTAGGATAAAATGTTTTCACTCATTCTTTCATTGCAATTACAAGGGAATTAAAAAACAACATTGAAATTTCTAGAAGACAACATTTTGGCGATTTCTTGTCTTGTGGCTGCGTCATTCCTTTTCTTTCAGACATTCAGAAATGGAGGCATGTAGACGATTTCTTCTTCATCGTCCTCCTCAATTATTTCACAACCGGGGCCACTCTTATCTGCTCCCTAATTACGGGCGAGGTATTTTCTGCCCTTTAAGTTGCTATGGGTTGCAAATTCTTCGTCGAGCGCCGCACTTCTGGCCAACAACACGGCAGCCTCGATATCTATCTTCGTCTCTCTTGCCTTTCCTTCGTGTATCTCCCAACGAAGCAAGTTCAACCTTTTCCTTAGGCTTTCGATTTCCATCTCAACCTCCTTCTTTATTTTCATCTGCAACGCCAGATCTTCATCCAAAGTCGTGACCACAGCTTTGTAGATTGTCGTGGTCATGTCTACCTTAAGCCCTTCCTCTTTAATCTTCTGAATTTCTCGAGTGACTCGCTCGATTTTTCTTCAAACCTCCTCCTCAGTGCGCTCTATCTGGACGTTCTTGCCTTTGTCCATTGTGGTGATTCACCTTTCCTGAGACGATAGAGCGGTATTCAGCATTTGTGGTATGGAAGATGGATTTTTGGGTGAGAAACTTGAGACTTAGGAATTTTGGTCGGACATTTGTAATAGTGGCTTTTGTATACTCTTTGGGATTTTGGCTAGGAGTGGGTTTACGATATCCTCATTCAAAGCAACGTAACACATAAGCATTTAAATACACATAGATAATGTGTCCTAATCATGCATGGGGACCCTTTTGTGCCAAGGGTAGGCCTAACGCATTCGAATGATGTACGTGTGAGTTTAAACCAAATAAATGATTCCCCCAAAAATAATATTTAATAATGAGTTAAATATTTGAAAAGGGAAATAAACAAACCCACGCAGGGGCTATTTAGAAAGTGCGATAATATCAGGCCCACGCAGTGGCTAAAATAATGCGAGTACAAACAAAGAATAACCCGCGCAGGGGCGATGTCCACTATGCTGCTCCAGATGGTCCCGCTCCATCGTCGTCTTTCCGGATTTTGTGCTGTTGGAACATGTACCTTAGCATCAGCAAAAACCCCTCACCCAGACGACCTTTGTCTTCCAGACTCTCGTATCGCATCCTCTCAATTTTCTGCTGGATCCAGCTGTTGAACTCGTCATACCCTTGTTTCAGTCTCTCTATCTCTCGATTTGCCCTCTCGAGTGCGTCCTGATTCTCTACTAATTTGGCGTAGACCTCATTAGTCTCTTCCCTTAACTCTTGCAATTCGGCCACTGCTTTGGCCTCCTTGTCTGTCACACTGCGAAAGCTACACAGAATTTGAATGGAGATATTTTGTATATCCCTCTTCAACCATGCTTTGTAAACATTGTCACATCAAGCGTTAAATCGGTCAGGGGCGATAGTGTCTTTGCCCTTGCGCTTGGCATTCTTCCATTTGCTGAGCATCTCTGTGGCATCATCCATTCTGTCATCCCCTATGTCGTACACATAAGCGCCATAATACGCTTCTCTGGGCACGGTCTGTCTTCTTCCGAACTGTCGCAAGACTCGGAATGGCGCGTAAGGGCGAATTCCTCGAATGCCAGGTAGGGGAAGCACGACATATCTTCGACTTTCAACGACAACTTCTTTGGATATGAAGCGGTCGAGCATCAATTGGAGGTCCTCTTCTCTCAACTCGGAGAAAATTTGGGCCCATCTCCCTCTCGTTCTCCGATTGTTCAGGTTGGCCCAGAATAGTAAGTCGTTCAGGTCTTTGAGAGTGTTCTTGTTTTCGAGAGTGCAGTTCTCGATTTCCAGCACCCTTCGCCAAGTGGCTGAGAATCCACCATTGGAGGAGCAGATTACACCACTGGAAGTACCGATGTCCCTCTTTGCACTTACCCAAAGCGCGATATATGTCCGACAATATGACCGGGGCTATGGAGTAGTACTTTGTCGTTCCTTGATTCTCGTACCCCTTGAACAACGTCTGGACGAGTGTTATGACTCTGGTGTTGATGCTCAGGCTTGGTCCGTGCGGGAAGACCATTGTTCCCAACAAGGCTATGGTAAACGCCAATGGGCGGAGCTCGTTCCACTCCCTGTAGGAAATCTTAAATTCCCAATTATACGCAGCATAGAAACTCGCGTGTCCGAATCTGACATACAGGTCCCTGAACATTATGTGGGAGTCTTGACACCAATAGGTGAAATTCTTTCTTAGACCTAACCAATCCGAGATGTTTTCAACGGAAGGTTTGTTGGGGATGAAAATGTTCTCTTGTTTTCGGGCTCTTCTTTCTAGACCCGTGCCCACGGTGTCTATGCAATCCCTTATCTCTTCTAATGTAGGGGTGATTTCGGCCGTTCCAAAATGGAAGACCATTCTTTGTCTATCCAGTACCCTGTAAGAACTTCGATCAACTCTGGCCAACCGTGCATGTTGATTAGCTCGGTCAAGGCCCCTACATATTTGTTGAGAGTTCGCTTATGATCTCTGTCTAAGTCGTTGTGCCACATAGTAAGTTGGGGTGGCGCGGAGATGACCATGTTGAATTTCGGGAAGCAGTCCATATCTGCAAAACAGAAACCCATTAGACTTTCCCCTACCCCCAAGTTGGTTTTTCACACATACACTTTCGAATGTCAAATAACATGATGCGTCGCGAGGTCGAAGACCTTAGACGCGATTTGGTGGTTTCTACTAAAATGGACTTAATACGCCTTGGGTATTATGTCGTCCTAGGCTGATGCCTAATTTTGGTTTTGGTTTCGCTCTATCTTAGGCTTTTCTAGAATTGTTTTCAAATAGATGGTTACCCGAGTCGGACAAACATCGGGGTGGAGCTATCAAATAATGCCGGATGACCGCATTCCGACTATTTATTCGATACTCCCAAATGAGTTCTTGGGTATTTTTGAGAGAAGTCGCGGTAAGCCGCGTAACTTCCATTTTCTAATGCAACTAGTTGCCGTTTGGCGGAATTTATGCCATGAAAAAATGCAACTTCTAAAACTAAAGAATTTTAAATAATTAAAAAAGTTAGTCAAATAGAGTTAGTCTTAGGGTTAGAATCGCCCATCCCCAGCAGAGTCGCCATTTCTGCTTTATCGAAAAAATTGATTTCGAAAAGAGTTTGTTTTATTTTTGAAGATATTTTCGACTTTTAGGAGCCGCCACTTAATTTTTTAAGAAAAATCAAGAAAACTTATTTACAAAACAACTTAAAAAGAAAAAATTATTTTGAAAACATTTAAGGGTTCGGGATTCCTATTTAGTGTCTTAGGAAGGTGTAAGGCACCTAAGACACTCCACTAACTTATGGTTTTCCAGCGATTAACTTATTTGACTAATTTTGTTTTAAAATTTTGCGAATCTTTAAGTTGAACTTATTAAAGTTTCATTTAGAGAAATTTACAAGTTGAAATATTTAAGACAAATTTACAAGTTTCGAAATATTTATCTTGCAACTTTTGCGAGTCTATTT